GGGACGATTCACAATGACTGCATTGCTGCATACATGTACCGCCACTCTCATGGGGCATCACTCAGCTTTTAAATATTTCAGAATATCTGGCTCCGCCCACATTACCATGAAATTTACAACCAACTTGCATCTTGCATCTGCCGACGTCGTTTCTAATTTGTTGAAGTGATGAGCACTTGTGATGCTTGTGATGTGTCTCCGTGTGTGTGCGTGTGGGGGAGACGCTGAGCGCTCGCTGATACACTGACAGAGAGGACAGATGCAGCCTGTAAACACCCCAAAATAGCAGTATATTTTCTGTTAGTTTTGTCTTAAGTGCTGTGGGCTAAAACGCTTAGAATGCAAGGGCAACTTCTGATTTTTTAAATTGCATCAACATTTTGGCAGATTCCATAATATTCCGCGTTTTAAAGTTAACTGTCTTTTTATTGTCAAATTCTGCGATTCCGTCCCGGGTTTCTGCAGCTTTTGGGGAGGGGGGCCCCCCCAAAACAATGGTAGTGTTATCTCTGCAGAGGTTGGGGCCTAGGCTACTTTGTGGCTTTTATGTCTAACTTGAGGAACTGCCAAAATACATGGAGTAGGATACAAAGACAACACTCTCTGTAACCCACTTCAAGCTGTCTTCCTGGTGTCTGGTCTGCACCAGTTCATTTAATGCTTTCATACAAGCCTAAATGAACTGAGTCAAATGACAATGCAACAGTTTGTTTGAACCATGCCAGTAAATCTGAAAGCGCATTTAAAATTCTAGATTTTAAACAGTAATGATATATGATTGTAAATTCCTGTTACAGAAGTGTGATTGAAGCTTTTTCCCTTACTTTTAGCCTCTAACTTTATATTTGCTATGCATTAAATTAATGATGTGCAATGCATTATCAATCACGAAAAGTCAAGTTTCATACTCTTGCTTCTGTTTCCCTATGTTTTGTATGCATGACCTCTTACTGTTATCACTCATTTTCATTGTCCATCTGTCTCTCCTTTCTCTTTCTTTTCTTCTTCTCTCTTTGCTCTGTCTGTGTTTCCTGTTGTAGCCAACTGCATCCCTCAATGCCAGAATGGAGGAATGTGCCTCAGGCCTCAGCTCTGTGTCTGCAAGCCTGGCTCAAATGGGAAGGTATGTGAACAGAAGACTGTGCCCACACATCCCTTCCCAGCACTGCCTGGGAATGGACCCACCAATGGACACACTAATGGTCCCACTAATGGACACAATGGGGTACCCCAGCGGCCTATACCACAGCAAGTGCTTCCCAATGGGCATGCCTCTGCCCCCCTCCATCTAGCAACATGGCCCAGATGAAACTAACTGTCAAGCCGGCCCAGCTTGTACGACCACATTACATCCAACAGCACATCCAGCAGCAGTAAGTACCACGCTTTGATTCAACCTTATTTGTGCAGGAAAAGCTGTGTTCCATGCTGTCTTCACATTCATATAGTTTTGCTAATTGACTCTGGGAGAAGGTTATTAGCACCCTACCACGACTGACCCACGACCCTCTAACAACTCCATTGGTGCAGTTGGAGTGTATAGTGTCTTGCTCAAGGGCATGGCATGGTAGAGTGATACATTATCTTTTAGAACACAAGATGCGAAACTGGGTTAATTAACCACAGCTACAAAAAGATAACACTAAACATAAATGACATATCCTAAAACCAAAATGAATGAAGCCCCACATTTTTTTTCTTAAATTCATCAGTAAAAGCATGAGAGAAAAAAACATATGTGCAGACCACTGATTTGTTCTTACCCATGGGGCAATCTTTATAAGTTAACACGTACACCACAGGTGTGGAACAGGGAGCAGGTGTGTTCAGTCCCTCATACTGGTCACTGGAAGTTCATATGGCACTTCATGGCAAAGAACTCTCTGAGGATCTGAAAAAAAGAATGGTTGCTCTTCATAAAGATGGCCTAGGCTATTAGAAGATTGCTAAGACCTGAAACTGAACTGCAGCACGGTGGCCAAGACCATACAGCGGTTCAACAGGACACACCAAAGAAATTGAGTGCACATGCTCAGCATCATATCCAGGGGTTGTCTTTGGGAAAGTAGTGCTGCCAGCATTGCTACAGAGGTTGAATTGGTGGGGGTCAGCCTGTTAGTAATCAGACCATACGCAGCACACTGCATCAAATTGGTCTGCATGGCTGTGAGAAAGTCCAAATTGGACATTCTCACTTAGGGGTGTCCTCACTTCTGTTGCCAGCAGTTTAGACATTAATGGCTGTGTGAAGTGTTATTTTGAGGGGACAGCAAATTTACAGTGTTATACAAGCTGTACACTCACTACTTTGCATTGTAGCAAAAGGTCATTTCTTTAGTGTTGTCACATGAAAAGATATAATCAAATATTAACAAAAATGTGAGGGCTGTACTCACTTTTGTGAGATACCCAAACCCTATATGAAATATTTGATTTTGTGTTTTAGGTGGCTCAAATTTGATAACCTTAGCTTGCTGGCTAATGGCGACCAGTTGCTTAAGATTATCCGTTACAAAGTACTGTTGGATGGCACATAACATTATGATCCCGTGTACCGCTATATTAACATAGTGTTGACAGTACAAATGAAATGTGCAACGATTTGTTTCTACGAGCCAATAGTGATGCAAGGCCAGTTCAGCCAGCTAGATTTATTGTGCAATCTGAAACCTCACCGCTAGAGGCCATTGAAAACTACACATGGTCCCTTTTTACTTAATTCTTCATTTAGTGCATCTTTCAGTGTATAACTATTGGCTAAGGACATACCTTGTTTACAGTAAAATGAAATACCAAATGTAACAGCAACTGGTAATTTAGCACTAACAAATGTTTATCATGAATTTCCATGTAACCCAACAATTGGCATTTTAACGTTGACAATTAATTCTTTTTCATAGTTTTTAACTGTTTCTGTGACATCCTTTTTAATGTTTCCATACATTTAATATTTACAACCACATGAATTTGGATAGAATTATCACTACTAACGTGCAAGAGATGCAAGAATAGTGACGACAACATTGGTGGAATACACTCACCTCCTCATTGACAAGAAACTGTGGAAAACTATTAACAATGTCCTGACCCTTGAGCAACTTTGAGACACAGTGGAAAAGAAATTGTAGAGAATAGGGGAAGAAAGAACAAACCATGACACAGTTCTATGAAGATCCCTTCAAGTTCTAAAATATTTCTTTATGAGGTAAAAAAGTGGAAAGAACAACAAAGAAAGAACTGGAGGATTAGTTGTAGACACAAGGCAGCACGAACATCTGAAAATACTATCAGACATCCTTCCAATTGACCCTCCAGAACATTGCATTGAGAGTGGGCCACCAATATGGAAAACAAAGTCCATCGGCAGCATAAAGTGCATAAGAATGCTTCAGATGACCTGAGGTTTTTCTGGAGGCCCAGAACTGCATGGTGTAGGGCAGGTGTCCTATTCCAAAGGAGAAGGATGCAGTGAACATCAGCCAGTTCTGACCAGTCTCCCTGCTAAATGTGGTAAAATGTTTTTCGGTATCATAGTGCAAAGGAGGGCTAAATATCTGTGAAGAAACATAATGCAGGAATAATGGGGCTTTCTGGTTGCTTAGAGCATTCTAGCACGATCTGACACCTGATCCAATCGGCGAAGGTGGAGAAAAGGGACCTTCACATAGTCTATCTGGACCAATGCAAGTCCTGTGGTCTGCCTTCAGCTTCTTCCACATACCGGACACCATCACAGCCCTGGTTAAATCCGACCTGAAGGTTTTACCACCTCCTGAATGTACCAGCTCTTGTCAGTGCCTGGAAGTAGGTGTAAGTGGTGTGATGCACTCTCAACCCACTCAATGCACCAGGAAACTGGAGGAGAACATTAGCTGGGCCTGTATCAAGATGAAACCACCCAAGTGACACATCATCTCGATTATCAAGGGAGTGCTCCCTGACCGTAAATTCTTCATCAGAGATGACCCAATCCAAACAGTATCCAAGCAGCCCGTCAAAAGCCTTCGAAGACATATGATGCAAGCTTGAAGGACAAAGACCAGGTGCAACAACTGCGGAATAAGTCCAGCAGTGCCTCCTGTTTGGGCTTCTACCCCAGGTGCTGTGGCCCCTCACAGTCAGGTCCCGATCTCAACAGTAGGAGTTCCACTGTGCTTTACAACTATAGGCCTCTATGGAGATGATGTCCTCAAGCTGCCCCTCACCGTTGGTGAGCAACACCGTGCTGACCTTAGCATCTGGGCGCAAATGGAGACCAGCCAAAGCAGTGGAGCAGCAGCTCTCATGTGGACACTGTGGGACATGTTCAGCAAGGAAGAGGAGGTCTAATAACGAGTTGCTAACGAGTTCCTCCAACAAGGAGGAAGATCAGCTGGAAAGATGTGTGGACCAGGGAAGTGACGTGACTAAGCTTTATCCAATCCAATTCAACTTTATTTATAAAGCACATTTAAAAACAACCAGCTTGACCAAAGTGCTGTACATTGACATTAATAAATAAACAAATGCAACACCAAAAAACAGCAACGTACAGATCTCATCCCGAATTAAAAGCCAAGGAGTATTTTAAAAACTAGAAGCCTGGGGGCTAGTGTGACATGAAGAGGCAATTCATTCCACAGTCTCAGGGCTGCAACCGAGAAAGCTCGACCCCCACTGTTCTTGAGCCGTGTTTTAGGGGCAAGAACTGACTGGTTTGCGGCCCTTAATGACCATGCTGCTTTCATAGATCAGCGATAGAGGCTGGCTGTCAATGAAGGGCTTTAAAAACACACAATAAAATCTTAAATTCAGTCCTAAAATGATCTGGGAGCCAGTGAAGAGAGGCAAGAACCGGGCTGATGTGATGTCCATGTGATCTGAATCCCATCAGGGCTACATATGACATCCTTCCACACCAGTTAATCTTGGCTAGGTGAACATCCCAGGTATGCCCTTTGTTTAATCCTCCTCCCTCAAACAGATTATCACAGGGTGTAAAATCAGCCTCACTCTGCTTATTGGAAGATGATGGTTGACATCGGCCAACAACTCATATCTCCTCCAGAGACAGCATTCACTGTTGAGCTCTCCAAAAGCGTTTTAGGCTCATCAACAAAATGTTAAGGAAGGAGGGTGCCCACTTGAAAACTCCTCTGTTTCAACTGTCCATATCACTTTGATATTGTGTTCACCATCAATCAGCAAGAAGAATTTCTTGTATCTGCTTTTACAAAGGATATTATATATCCTAGGTTTTTCAAATCTATATTAGACAATAATCAAAATGGCAGACCTGAGTTGAGGTATTGGAATTGGGATCAGGAGATAAAAAGTTGGATCCCTAATAACGAGACCTACTTTAGTTTAAAATTATTAACTTGTTGTTTGACAGGGAGCAATAAGCAAAGATGTAGCACAGACAAATCATGTTGTTTTCTAGCAGCCTGGTAGCAAATGTTCTGAGTCCTGTACTGTTATGCGGCCTTGGCTTTGGGAACCACTGCCTAAAAGGACTTAAGTGTCCTAAGGAGTATCCAGCATCCATGAACATCCACATGTGTGTTTGCATATTTTCTTATCTCTCTCTCTTATCTTTTTTTAAACCTGCCCCGCCCAGCAGCCTGGTATAGAGAATGAGGAGCTGGATACCATATTGTGCCAGACAAATTTTACTTTAACAAGAGAGTATTAATATACTCCTTTGTCTCTTATTATTTATTTAACTTAGACATGGGGATGGGGGATACAAACACCACACAAACAGACAGCTCAGAGAAAGGACAACAACTGCAAGAGAACGGGGAGGGGGGCTTGGGGTGGAGAAAAACAAAGAACAAAACAAACAAACAAAACAAAGAGACAACCAGATGAACAGCTCACATAGGAAGACAACTGAGAGAAATGAAAATGAGAAACAGTCAAGCAAAATAAATAAACAACAGAGCACAGCCATGAGAGCTGGAATAATAACAATTAATTTAAAAAGTAACTGAAAGAACTGTGCTCCAGCAACAGGCAGGCAAGACTCCCGTAGCCAAACGGGGTGGGAGAAACAAAAAAAATTGACTCTCAGACGGACCGCGACGCGAAAGACCCCGACCCAACCAACAAACGGAAAAAAACCGACCATCCAAATGGCAATTGACAATGCAATGCTGCCGGAACACAAAAGGCAGAACCCATGGCAGAGCGGCGCCTGGATTGACCGTGGCGCGCACACAACAGAGACCGGTACCCCCCCCCCCCCGCGCCCAGTACCCCACCGCCCACACTGCACATCCCGACAACTAACTTTATACTTAAGTTTCCAGAGGAGTCCGACAGCCGGCTGACAGAGAAACTGGGGAGCATGGATCTGAGGCCAACAAACCAGGAAATGCCTCGCACTACT